GTAAGCACTCATCGGTGCTTGATTAATAGGCTGGATTCGCGTACGGCACAGGGGTTGCCGAACGCGTTTGAATGGCTTTTCCGTCGTTACTGGTTGCAATCAGTATCCAGCCTTACTCCTTTTACTATCATTAGGCACGTTAGCTAAGGATGGGAAACTTCCAAATTCTTATGCCCTTAGCCCATACTTGTTTTGAAGAACCCGAGGAATCGGATCACAGGAAAACGACTGCATGTATCAGCCTCCACACGCCGATACTAATTGCAGACTACACCACGCCACTTATTCGCTTCTCGTTCACACCTGCAGCCTTAACTGGGATTGGGACGTTTTCCCCACACTATTAAGAGCAACGGTCGCTCTTAAATCAGCCGGCTATCTCTATTAGATCCCATTTATTTCTGCTGTGGTTCCATGAGTTTTATCATCATCAAGAATCACATCCCTAATCCGAAAACAAAAGAGACATCATCATTACGCCGGCTCACCGTACCGACTCTTCGCTGCCACGCGCCTACCATCAGTCGCGTGAGGGCTGCATATACCGCGAGATCTCACACACCTACGCGGGTTTGAACTGGTGACGTAGGAATTACAAGGCAAGCATGCAGTCCTTTCGGCCGCCGGCCGACAATCCAGAACTTTAAGCTTCCGAGAAGAAGCCTCTTCACCGACACCATTAAACTCCTCGATGAACTCGTAACATTGAAACGTACGGAGAAACTGCGGATTCTACTGGTTCATCCCAGCTGTCTATAAGCCATATTAGTCTAACCTCAATCCGGAAAACCGTCAGACGATCATTTCCTCCTATTGTGGCTCCTAGCCGTAAGAACATAAGCCTGCCTTATAATCCAAGGACGCGGGTTTGAGCCTCCGTAGGGACCAGGTGTCCCTAGAGCAATATCCTTAGCCCACGCGCGGCTAGTGGTGGTTGCACGGCAACAAAGCGTCAGTGCTACGTACTGCTGATGACTTTTTGTTGAGGCTCGTCAGTGGTGCGCATTCCCTCGGTCCCCTGATGGGGATCGAACCCATGACCACTGGCAGGTTACGCCAACTAGCCAGCAGCTTATGCCACTGAGCCATGGGGGACGGAGGCAGACCGTCTGAACTTGCAAGCTAACTGGGATATAGCGCAACCTATCCTCCACTGCCATGCAGGTTCCTACCATTGCAGAGGACAGTGGCTGGCCTCCGAGATTACGACTTCCACTACACAGTAGTTATGTCCGCATAGCATTTGAAGACTGTGAGGGCGAATGTCTAGATTACTGCTGAGTGGGCGGATTCTTGCTGGTATTTTACTGGCGTAAGCTGCTAGCGGTCATGGGTTCGATCCCCAGCAAGGGACCGAGGGAATGCGTACCACTGATGTTCTACAATAGGGCGAACCGGTTGTCTTGTGTTTTTCCGGATTGGTTAGACCAGTCGGGCTTGTGAGCAGATCTGCTGAAGCAGTAAAATACCGTCAAAAAGCCTCCCACTCATCAGTAAAATGCCATTCCGTTTCTTATCTGCGTGCAAACGCAGCGCTCTAAATCCTCGACTGTTCTGTAATTTTTTGCCTAAGAAACAGCTAAGACCTACCAACGCGAACCTGAAGTGACTCGCCAACTCCAGTTTGGAGGAGGCTACCCGAGCTCCTTCTTATTTGATGGAGACACATCAACGCCATGTGGCGGTCACCGACCAACTCTCTACTTTGCCATATAAATTTAATAAACTTTTGCAAAACCGTCGTTGATGTGACAAAAAGGGAGCTAGCCAAGGCACAACAGAGATCTCTTGAAAATGCAGAAAATGAACCCGTTTTTTTCTGGTGACTTACATAGGCATGTGTACAACCTATGCTCATTACTATTGGACAGAAAACAACTGGAAACTTTATCACTGAGCATAAAGTTAAATTCCTCCCAAGTAAATCTGTCGTAATGTGATATTTAGCATTATATTGTTTTTTTCAGTTGTTGTATTCTATAATATTTGCTATTTTTTTACATTACGGCACATTAGCTGAGACGCGTATCACACCGTCAGCTATCGTGTGTTGATGATGATCCGAGGACTGAAGGGCAGTGAATTCAGCTGCTTTGTTTCTCATATCCAAGAACATTGTGGAAAATTAGCTGCATCTGGTTGCAAACGCATTTGCGGATGTAACTTCATCAAACTAGAAAACGCCGTAATTTTCAACCTGAAAAAGACCATTAACAAGTAAGCACATACAAACTACAACTGACTGACTGTGTCATCTCGGCTTGGCTGATGTAGTCTCGGTGTCATCATCCAGGAAAATAGTCTTCACTGCTCCAATTAAATCTCAATCATTTCCTTGGTACACACTTGCCTTGTCATCTAGTTTCTGTCCCATTGTTTCACCCAGCCAAGTGCATTGTTCCAAAGTAACACACTATGACATGTCGTTAATAGTCGTGGGAAGGACATGACCAAGCCACCTGGCCAGGCAATCTTAGAGCTGGTCTTGTGCTGAGCTGGATGGAATGTCATCACACAGCAACTGCTATGCATCAACACTACTCACTTGATGGTCCTATCAGAAATATGCAATGTTGCACCGACATTACTATTATACAGGCACGACCGTTCTCAGCCGGCCAATGGACAAATGGTTCAGGCTTCAGGATTATAAACCATATATCATCGGCTGGAGCTTGCATAGATGCAGGCGACGCCGACCTATGGCCGAAAGGACAAGGCGTCTGACTTGCAACCCGGAGGTCGCGGGTTCGAGCCTGCGTAGGGGACCGGGCGATCCTCGCAGTGCCTTTAGCCCTCCCGCGACTAGTGGCAGTTGCGTGGCAATGAAATGTCGGTACAAGTACCGGCGTACTGCTGATGCTTTCTTAGATTCAGGTGACTTAACGGTACCCCTAGCCCACACGCGCTTGCCAGTGATCGCTTACCGGCGAAGCATCGGTGCGACTTACTGACGCACTGCTGATGCCTTGTTTTTACAATCGCTATCATAATATCCCTAGGGCTCATGGGTCATGCCATTTATTCATACAGCAACACTGAACCCTATATCGGCTTTGTACATTTTGAATGATGAGCTAATGCTCCACTGTCTTCATAATCAGTTAGGGATTTGAGGAACCACATAAGCTTTATTAATGCGCGTCTGTATGTGCTCACCAGAAATACCTAAATAACCTAGATGTGTAACCCGTTTATCAGCCTTGGTTGTTACCTTCGACTACCCGTACCTTGGCAGTTTGACTCATCTCTGGTGGGAACACCGTGGGGGCAATGAGCGTGTTCGACGCCTTGGTTATGGCACCGGAAGAGTAACTGAACCGCTCGGCACCATTATATTAGGCACTAGGCTCCGATGGCTGAGTCAAGCGGTGCGCAAGCTACCTGACGGACTCCCATGACGTGTGTTGTTTGTGCGCCGGGTTGTGGATGGACGAAGAGGTAGAGCAGCCAAACGATGATTTTGTCAAGAGGAATGAAGGCTCTTTGTTCGGAACTGGCCGCGGTCGGAGCCTCGGCTGTTTGGTTGTGGTCCGAAAGACTGAACACGTTTGGCTAAATACACTTGTTGACATGGCTAGGAACCGACCTCAGTGGCCTTTGTATCGTGAGTTTCTTTGTCCATTCCCTACTCGCTTAGCCTCCTTTTCCAACCATGATCTCATTTCTTAGGCCTGGTAGCTCTCCTGGAACGATGTCCATCCGTTACTAGTGTGCTTTTGTTGCATGTTTTGTTCTCCCATGTATTGCGGCAGAATAGCTGAGGTGTTTCCCACCTCTAGCTGACATATATCATTATGATGATGCCTTGATCTTTGGCTACTTCTATGAATCGGGGTATTCCGAAACGTAAATCACTCCACTAAAATACAAATTGCTTCACTGCAGTGAAGCAGTGTATTCCATCAACTGCTTGCTGACATCATGAGAACGATTGGGCCCCTCTTTGGTTATTTGCAGCGCTACAGAATACATTTACCAATTCCACTTTCGCGGCCGCGCGCCAATTTCCGATGGGCCATTTGTGCATCATCCATTGTTGTTTTCGCTATGCGATTAAGGGGATCCCACTGCGGTGCTGCATTTGCACTACCGGTCTCTGCACCGGCTATTGTTGCTTCTAGAATATCCCCGAGAAATAACTACTCATCCTTACTTCCGGTGCCTCCGTCGCAGGACTCTTCACGTACTGTTCATCATGACACAAAATATACCGGTAAAATGCAGGTTGTTAAAAATATTTTGTTTGACTACCTCCCCAGTACGTCTAACTCAAACAGGATGAAGGTACTCACTTGCGTTCATGTTCACTTCTGCTGTGAAGACCCCAAATCAACTGTTGCCCTCCTATTCATAGCAATGTCTACTGCTTACATCCTGATATGCTTTGCTCATGGCGTTTACCTTAGTTCTTACTTACTTGTTTTATTTTACTTTTCTTATCTCTACACGCCACCTACTAGTCGCTCTCCATGGGGATGCTGGACAAAGTACGTTGGATCATAAACGGCGAGTAGGTACGTCAAGGTTAAAACATAACGGCTTATCAATCAGTGATGCGATTGTCCTCGAAGAGAACTCTACTCAACTCGAGTTCCTCGAACTAGGACCTAGAAGGTCTACAGCTTAATGTTTTTCTCTCCGATTACTATGAGCGAAATATTTGATTTCTCATTCTTACTCTCCTTGTTGATTTACTTATTATGCCATGAATCCTCGTAGTACTACTCAATTTGGATTTACGAATCAACCAGTTTTCCACTTTTTCGATTTCTTGTTTTTTCCCACGTTCCACACGCCCTGCAGCTAGTGGTAGTAGTAGTAGTAGTAGTAATCTCAGCGGTCTAGTAACTAGACATAGAGCCAATGCAGCTAGTGTGCGAGCATTCTCACTCAAGATAGTGGCCATTCAAGTTGATTTTGTAACACTACGTAATATACTTGAACCTTTCGTGGAAGTGATTACGGTGACTTAACTCAATCTTCCTGTTGCATTGTAGATTGTCTTGGAAAACTACGCTTTTCCTGGCTGCCTTATCATAGGTACGGATAGCCACACTCCGAACGGTGGAGGTCTAGGCGGGCTTTGCATTGGTGTGGGTGGTGCTGACGCTGTTGACGTGATGGCCAATTTCGCGTGGGAACTGAAAACCCCAACTCTTATCGGGGTGCACCTCACTGGGAAATTGTGCGGCTGGACTGGCGCTAAAGACGTTATTCTCAAGGTGAGTTGTCACCATTCATTCTTTACTAGCACATCTTAGTCCCCCATCATCTGACCTTGGCCGCTTTTTCTTCTGATAGAATGGTGAGTTTCTTCAACCTACATCTTGAATCCCGCTCATTTTAATGGCAACCTCACTTCATCCTTATCAGCCGTTGACCAAAGCGATAGCGTCTGCTTTGTGGCTGATAGGTCACCGGTTGGAATCTTCGTAACTGTGTGTGATCTCACCGTGTCCCTAGCTCACACGCCACTGATGGTGGCCACGTGCCAATGAAGCATCGATGTAACGCGCCAGCATACTGATGATGCCTTACGGCATTCCCCCCCCCCCCCACTTTGGTATTCTCTGCCCATCGAAGCATTGTTTACGAGATTGTGCATGCGTTACAGAAAACCATTTGTACTCCAGCCGAGGCACCCGTAAAACTTCGCCACTTCTGTGCTGTTTAGTTTTCACAGCTGTTCCCCACATCATTTCTCTTTTAATTTGCTTCCATATTATACCCGACCTACATGTTGTTCCACTTAAAATGAGAATTTCTGCAGCTTCGCAGGATTCCTTATATACTGATTCTTTTAAACTGCCTTTCATATGCTTAGATACTTTGAACTTCGTTTCGCATCATTTATCGATATCGAAATAAGCTCTAGTGTGTCTTCGAGAAGTAGCGTTGTCTTGCTTATTTGTCAATGCTCTCACACAAGTAAGAATGCGCACTTTATTCTGACGTAACTTTACGTTTCTGGATGACCTGACTCGCGCTTTTTCTTCCAATCGTCGGTTCCGTTATCACTGTTTTTCCTAGCCCTCTGCGACGTCTTTTCCATCAGATGAAACTATCACATTCACTTTCACTGGACTGAACATAACTAAAATTTTCAATAGATGTTTCTCAGCTTTTGACGTTTAAATTCCATTTTGGGGTACGCAGTAACTCGTTTCCACTGTGGCATGACTCATTATTGTATCTCACCTGCTTTTGCCACTGAACTTCCCCCGACTCGATTCAGTGGAAGTTGTAATTTGCATAATCATCGTCACGAGCAGTACATCACCCATTTGAACTCATGCTTCGCTGCCGTAAAACTATGCTGGCCTGCGGAACGGAGAACAATAACAAGTAAGAAAGGGATCTGATGTATATCCTCAATGGCTTAAACAAACATTGAGGGTCAATGCGCCTAGAGCTTGTACCAACAACATACCGCTACAAACTGCCGTCTATCGTGCAAAGATAAGGCGGCATCAGCGGACAGCTTCCTTAAGGCTTTCACTGTCCTGCATCATATTCAGTCATTACCCAGCAGATGACACCAAACGCACTTTAAACTAGCGGTCCGACTGCGAAAGGGCAACAGATACGCCACTGGTGTCGCCTGCGGGCCATGTCCTGTAATCTCTAGAGCCAAGCACAAGGCGGCCACGTGGTTTCCAAACTGGAATGCGATACGGATCAACGGCACCGAGTTTGGTCCTCAGTGACTTCATTTTCCGCTGCTAAGTCCACCTCGGGCTTTTCACCTCCCTACACCTGGTAACTAAAACAGAGCCCTCCTCAGTAACGGTGCCCAGGCATATGTAGTATGTGCCCATGCCAACGTAACTTATTCAGTGCTACCTGCTTTTCTACGAAACTACCTTGGTTATCACTGCTTAGCGCTTGCACACACATCATCGTTGCGGACATGATGGTGCCATCCGCCATCGATGATCAGATTTGAAGGCGCCGCATGTCTCGAATTGAAGGGGCTAAGTCCCACTACCATATGGTAGTACGGCTCTCAGTGTCCTTGCAAACACGACCTTTCAGACAGAGGAAAACTCCTTTCTGGCTCCACAGATGTCGCAGACTCAAGAAGGCAATTCTAGCTTTCACAGTACGTGCGCTAACTTTACTGCTAATAACTCATCGTGGCTGATGAAGCTGCCAAGTTGAGTGAATTGATCAACAACCTATAGTTCATCGCTATAAAGGGTCAAGGAAACATCAAGTGGCTACTGGTCCTGCAACAACTCTCTGTTTTTGAAGGTGCGAAGCGTATGCTACATGATGGGACTACTCTATTCCATTTCTCGATTGATTTCAGCCTTAACGCAATCTGTTTAATCGTTTATTCATCAGTTTTCCACCTTAATGCCGAAAATTTGATCAAATACCCATCTAACTTTAATCCACATCGCACTGACGGGTCAGCCGTGGACCTCGCATGAGAGACTTTACGTAGGTGCGTGTACGTGTGGAATGTGTGAGCGGTGTAAAACGTTTGGGATCATTACGCCCAATGGCCTGAGCGGGACAACGTGATAGCCAAACGGCGGACATCACACGCGCTTGGCATGCGGAGGCATAAGTTTAATTCCGAAACATCAAGCTATGTTCACGCGTCTGAATTATGACTGTAAACATTCATACGGTTGCGATGGTCTGTCTCTGGTCAGCGGAGTTGTCACTTCCGCTTTCCCTCAGTTTGGTTGCACGGAACCGCACGCAGCGGGCAAGGCGGAAAGAAAATCTTTTCATAGTTTGTTACACTCAACCGAAATCAGAACAACAGTATTGCAAATGGAAGTTTAGTAGAAGCAATGGCAATAGTACATCGGCAGTCCACACTGGGTACAAGATCAACTGTTTAGTTTTACGCAGTTCACATGTTTTAGCTAAGCACTCGCTTTTGAACCAATCAATAAGCATCGCTGGTTAGTCGGGAGATGGACACTCACGCACTAGCGCGCACAATGCAGCTCCACAGGCTAGGTAGTGTAGCATGACCTTGACGCGCTCAACGTCTGTATCACTTCTCCCACCTTTAGTTGGAGCTATCCAGCTTGGAAACGATCGACCGGTCGGCGTCGGCGCTCAGAGCGCCGCAATTGTGACTCAGCTACCGGTTCGGCGTCACGCACGTGCATGTCGTTCGATGCTTGAGCTGGCTGCTCTGTCTCGGCAACTGTTTCTGTGTCGGACAATCTCGGTCGCACATGATCTAAATGGCGTCGAACGATCCTGCCATCCTCAGTCTCTGCTTCTATTATCTGTCCGTTAGTTGTTTTAACGACGGCTGGCTCCCACCCCGAGCCTGTAGGTAAGCGGATGTAGATGGGATCTGAATCTGTCACATGCTTGTCTCTGCTACAAGTATCAAAACGCTCTTTCACTCGTTGTTGTTTTTCCGAAACTTGTGGCTCAATAGATCCATGCAATAAATCCAATCGTGTACGCAGTCGACGACCAAACATTAACTCTGCGGGGCTTCTGCCTGTGGTCTCGTTTGGCATGTTTCGATATGCGAACAAGGAACGATCCAAACGCACACGCAGCGGAGCATTTGGTTGTTTTATTAGCAGCTTCTTCACTGTTTGTACGGCTCTCTCCGCCAACCCATTAGAAGAAGGATGATAGGGTGCAGTTGTTATGTGTTTAATGCCGTTCGAGTTGAGGAAGGTAGAAAACTCAACACTGGCGAATGCTGGTCCATTGTCAGATACTAATGTCTCGGGAAGGCCAAATGTTGCGAACGTTGTGCGTAGTTTCTCTATAGTACCAGCTGAATTTGCTGAAACAAGAATATGGGCATCAATCCATTTAGAATGGGCATCGATGATTAGCAAAATCATCCGACCTTCGTAGGGACCGAAATAGTCTACGTGGACTCGTTTCCAGGGTGTTTCTGGCCACTTCCAAGGCTGCATTGGCGCATGAGGAGCGGCGTTTCGGGTCTCCTGGCAAGGTCTGCAACTTCCAACCTTCGCCACAATATCACGGTCTAATTCAGGCCACCACACATAAAATCGAGCTAACGACTTCGTCTTTGCGACACCTGGATGCGCATCATGTAGTTCGTCAAGGATACGTGACCGAAATTTCTTGGGGACAATAACTCGTGCGCCCCACAGCAAGCATCCATTCTGGAGGCTGAGTTCAGACATCCTGTTACGGAAGGGCATGAGTTCTTTGGGGGTGTTGTCCGGCCACCCAACTTGGACATAGCGTTTGACCAACGATAGAACAGAGTCTCTGTCAGTTTCCTGACGTATGTCTGTACATGTGACTGGGGAATCATTAAAATGCTGGACCAGGTTTACGAGCTCTTGTGGGATAAATTCTTTCGATGGTGTCTCTGGTAAGGGAAGCCGGCTAAGAACATCAGCGGTGGTATTCTGTTTGCCTGGAACGTACTGAATTTCGTATGTATACGCAGAAAGAATAAGCGACCAACGTACCATTCTAGGTGAAGCCATTTGTTGAATACCTTTCTCGTGGCCGAGGAGGAAAACAAGAGGTTTATGATCCGTATGGATCACGAAAGGTCGCCCGAGTAAATATTGGTGAAATCGAGTGGTGCCGAAGATGACAGCGGCTGCCTCTCGATCAAGTTGAGAGTAGTTCCGTTCTGCTGGTGTCAGGGTTCTTGAAGCATAAGCAATGGGACGTTGAGAGCCATTCGGTAATTTGTGCATTAAAACAGCTCCGAGACCGTAAGGTGAGGCGTCACAAGAAAGAACAACAGGCTTCTGCGGATCATAATGCACAAGAACATCTGTAGATGCTAAGAGCTTCTTGACCGCTTTGAATGCATTTTCATGAGTATTGTTCCAATTCCAGCTTTGGTTTTTACGTAGCAGCTGGTGAAGCGGATGCAGATGAGTTGCTGCCGATGGTATAAACCTGGAAAACTGAGTGACAACACCGAGGAACGACCGCAATTCATGAACATTTTTGGGTGCTGGCGCCTCAAGTAGCGCCTTTGTCTTTTCTTCCAGTGGGCACAATCCTTCACGTGACAACCGATAGCCAAGATACTGTACACTCGGAACAAGGAACTCACACTTTTCTCTTTTTAGAACCAAACCGGCATCCGATAATCGCTTCAGGACGACGTCCAATGTATGTAAGTGCTCGGCGGTAGTTCGTCCAGTAATTAAAATGTCATCTAAGTACGCACATGTGTTTGGTATATCTTTCACGAGTGAGTCAATAATACGTTGAAAAATAGATGGAGCCGAGCTTATTCCAAAAGGCATGCGTATATAGCGGAATAATCCGAGATGAGTACTAATGGTGGTGTACGTGCGTGATTCCTCATCGAGTTCAATTTGTTGGTAGGCATGACTCAGATCTAGTTTTGTAAATAGATCACCACAGGAAAGGGAAGCGTAAATGTCTTCAATCTTTGGTAGCGGATATCGGTCTAATTCTAACGCTTGGTTTATCGTAACCTTGTAATCCCCGCAGATTCTTATCGTACCATCGCTCTTCAATACTGGCACAATGGGGCTGCCCAGTCTGAATACTGGACGGGTTCAACGGTACCTTCCAACTGGAGTCGGCGCAGTTCACTTTCGACCTTATCACGGAGGGCATAGGGAACAGTGCGAGCTTTCCAGAACCGCGGTTTTGTCTGTGGTTTCAATACCAGATGTGCACTGTAATTCTTTAAAAGTCCTGATCTCGACTGATCAAATAAGACTGCATGCTTCTGCAAAATCTCGGATAACTGCGGATTGTCTTTCACCAGGTTGACGTTCGACATTATGCCAGGAAGGCGCTTAATTCCATCGCGGCCCAGGATGTTCGGACCCGGTCCTCCAGAAACGTACACACACATATGACTCGTTGAATTACGGTAAGAAATGCGTGCATTGAAGGTACCAAGCACATTCACCATCTGTCCCGTGTAAGATCGCAACTGTATGTTCGGTGGACACAGCTTTGGAAGTTGGGATAAGGCGTCTGGTCGGATCAAAGTGACTGCGGAACCGGTATCAATTTCAAACTCTACCGGTTGTTCGTTTACTTGGACGGATACGACAAACGGTTTTTCTGCTGTAATGGTGCGATTAAAAACGGTTGTGGTGTTAATCCAATTCTGGTGCAATTCATCGGTAATGCAGTTTGTAGCCTTAGATTGTTCCTGGACGAGTGATTTCCGCTTGGAGAGACACACTTTCTGAATATGACCCATTTTTCCACAAAATCTGCATAATGAATGAATGTGCGGACAGTCAGTCGGGGACAAGTGATTCTCCCCGCAACGGTAACAACGGAATTCCTTGCGCTGTACGGGGCGAGGTAAGGCATGTCCACGGTTAGTCTGGTAGACCTTGTTTACGTCATGTGAGATTGATTGATTTGAAGAGGGAAATGTGGCTAGTTCCTGGACGAGGTTGGCACGCTGTCGGACTATATCACATGCTTTTTCCCACGTCAGTAGCGTTTCATCTTCGGAGAGCAGACGTTCTCGTGCCTTCTCATCGAAAACACCCACGATTAATGCCTGTAACAGCATCGCTTCTTCGAACTGGGCTGGAAGGATCTGATCATAGGCGCAGTCAGGGAGAGCAGTAAGGAGACGAGAGATAAACTCATTTACAGTCTCATTTGGCTGTTGTCGCATGGTGCTGAATTTATACCGAGCAGTAAACACATGGGGCTTTTCCCCCATATTCGGTCCAGGGAATAGAACACAGTTTTTAGGTCTCGCTTCGTATGTAATTGTAAACTGTCGAAATGTCGCTGGCCCTCGATGCCGAGATGGTGGCGTAGTAATTTAATTTTCGCTGCATCATCAATCGTGCAATTTCCGCCAAGGAGCAAAAGCAAATCAACGTAGTTAGTAAATGTAGTTTTCCACTGCAACCATTGTTGCGCAGTAGGCCTCTCAGTAGAAGAATTCCAAAAGGGTTGGGGTGCCGTTATTGAATTTGCCATGAGCAATCAGAATAACCTCCGTCGCCAAATTGTTACACTCAACCGAAATCAGAACAACAGTATTGCAAATGGAAGTTTAGTAGAAGCAATGGCAATAGTACATCGGCAGTCCACACTGGGTACAAGATCAACTGTTTAGTTTTACGCAGTTCACATGTTTTAGCTAAGCACTCGCTTTTGAACCAATCAATAAGCATCGCTGGTTAGTCGGGAGATGGACACTCACGCACTAGCGCGCACAATGCAGCTCCACAGGCTAGGTAGTGTAGCATGACCTTGACGCGCTCAACGTCTGTATGAAGTTCACCTACGAAGTTTGTTTTAAATTTAATTTATATGATTTTTTAACCTGTAGATGATTCACGAGGGTTTTCACACATGGGACAGTCAAGCATGTGTCTGGAGATCAAACTGTTAGGCAGCGTTTGACCATTCGCGACCAGGTTTCGAGGAATATGCTCTGCAATCCTTGTAGACGGTGTTTGCTCATTTCGGCCAACGTAGTCGCTACCGCAAGTACAGTGAAACAGGTAGATGATTGAGGCGGTAACTCGAGAGTCTGGTCTTTCCAGGTTGGTTTTGAACAGCAATTTGCTACCTTGGTGCAAAAGCGAAAGCTCAGAGTCGTAATAACACATTTTCATAGATTGACGATGACGGTATCGGAATCTCCTGTCATTTTGGTCGCCTTTGAATGGTAGCGTTATGAACACTTTCTTAGGGACGTCGGGCACCCGTTCGTTCTTAGTACTCGCGTTCGCCTTTGAGTGCCGTGCTGTGAACTTCTCTGGATATCCGTTTTCATGTAATGTCGAGGAAACTCGTTACAGCTACAGAATTCCCCCCCCCCCTTAGAGCTTGGGTAAAGAAAATGAATGCTCGCTATGTGCCATCTGACGTGAGTAGCTAGTTTATAGGGAAGAATAACTACACGTCCAAAAGTGTACGCTTTTGTGTGTTTGCGTTTGTGACAAGTGCTGGTTGGGGAGGAGAGGGAGCGCTGGAACCACACATCGGTTTGGTGGGTGGAGTGCTCTGTGGCGGAGTTTGTTCAGTGTCAGTGTCGGGAGTCTGTTGTTGCGGTGACTGGAATTCGACGTTCACTGGCCAACAACTATGTGTTACCTAAACGGAAAGCTGTAGAATTTTGTGGAAATACCACTAGGAGCCCTTAACAGAATTACGGCGAAATGTGAGTGTGGAAATGCTGGGACCGGATAAAGGAACAGCAGTACTTATGATGAATAAAGATGACTATGTTAGAAAAATGCATAAAGTTCTAGTTGACGCGATCCGCTTCTTTTGTGATGTGACACATTATGGTAGAATAGAACAAGTCGAGAAATCGCTAATACGCAAGTTAAAACTGCTGATTCAGATTTGACCGATTGACATGAAATCTATGACACATTTAATGAGCCCATCGTTGAGTTTCTGGGTCACGGGATCGATGATGGTGGCATCAAGCCTCTTTCGGATGAGACACAAGCAATCCTAGACTACCCCATGCCATCATCTGTCAAAAGCCTACACCGATTTCTCGGCATAGTCAACTACTACGTCAGATTCATACCCAAATGTGTGGACGTCCGTTACATCGAGGATCTTAACAACACTGTTGCTGATGCATTATCGCGTGCTCATCTGAACCAACTGTCACCGGCCTGTAGAGAATATCTGCCGCACAAGCCAATGATCCTGAGCTTATCAAATAACTTATTAAAATACGTACATTTATCATCCTTACGGATCATAAGCCCCTTACTTTTGCTTTTCGTGATTCCTCTGATCGCTTTTCACTTCGAGAAATTCGTCAGTTGGATTACATATCAGAGTTTACCACCGACACTCGACACATTGATGCAGTGTTGTAGTCAACGCATTGTCCGGCATTGGTATTCACGGGGTTACGCGACAAACAACCAAGTTAGAAGACATCGTTGCCCATCAAGAAACAGCTCCAGGGTTTGGGAAGTTGGAATCAAATCCTTCTATTAAACTTTCTCAACTGCCTGTTCTCAACTCGGATTCTCGAATTTACTGCGATATATCCACTGGAAATCCTCGACCATTCGTTCCGCAACAGTATCGACCAGTTGTTTTTGACCACTTGTATTGTATCCCCCATCCGAGCAGCCGCGCTACCATCAAGCGGACTACGGATCGCTACATCTGACCCAGCATGCGCTCTGATATCCAACAATGGGGGAACACTCTATTACCTGCCAGAATAGCAAGATACATCGCCACACGATTACTGTTCCTGGAACCTTTTCTCTGCCCGACGTTCGTTTCAAGCATGTCCATCATCATTCTCATCATTATACACGTTAGCTAGAGGTGGGAAACACCTCAGCTACTGTGCCGCAATAAATAGAAGAAAAAATGAGAGAAAAAGCAACCGGTGCAATTCAGCTGAGCTACCGGTAACGGATGATCACCGTTCCGGTAAGCTACCAGCCGGCTACTGTGTATTAAAAAAATTACTATGCAGAATTATATAAGGCTAAATAGTAAGATCGTACTTGGAGGGGGAGGCTAAAAGGAATGAAAAGGGACAAAGAAACTCACAGCACGAACGCCATTGAGATCGGCTGCTAGCCATGTCAGCAAGTGTATCTAGCCAAAGTTGTTTGTCATCTTTCGGACCCCAACCAGGGAGCCGAGACGCTCAAACCGAGGCCAGCTTCGAAGTGATGGTCTTCATGGTCTCGACCAAGCCATCGCTTGGCCACCCCTCCTCTTCTTCCATCCACATCCCCGCTGAACAAACAACGCACGTCGAGGGAGTCGGTGGGCCGGCATGCGCAACACGTGGCAGAGCCATCGGAGCCTGGTGCGTGAAATAACGTGTTGAGCGGTTCATTTTCTTTTCCTGTGCCGTAAACATGGTGTAGAACACGCTCGTTGCTAACTCGGTCTACCCACCAGATATGAGCTAAATTGCGTAGGCATCAGTGGTCGAACGTAACTAGCCGCTTCAGGTCCGCTGTTCTAATGGACCAGGTTTCACAACCGTACAGTAGAATCGAACGTACCGTTGCATTGTACACTCTACCCTTCAGGGCGAGAGTGATGTCGTGCCGGCGCCATAAGTGGCGAAGGTTAGCAAAAGCGCCTCGAGCTCTTGCTATACGGTTCGTGATCTCGTCTTCGATCCCAAGGGCGCTGATACAACTTCCCACGTAATTGAATTTTCGAACGACTTCTAGCTTATCCCCATCAAGGGTCAGCGTAGGAGGCGGTCCAGGCGAATCTTGGAGAAACGCTTTGCACTTCGAGGGTGCGAAGCAAAGCCCGAAGTGACGGATGGCCAGTGCTAATCTGTCCAGTGCCGCTTGACACCTTTGTGAGCTGTCACAGATGAGGGCAATATCATCAACATACTCTAAGTCAAGTAGTTTTCCTGGTACCAGTTCTACACCTTCTTAATCGTGTTCTGTAAACGCGATTCCCATGACTTCATCAATAGCAAATTGAGGAGTAAAGGTGAGAGCGGGCATCCTTGTCTCACACCGCTGGAGATATTAACGAGCGACGACAGCCTGCCGTAAGCACTCACACTGCCCGAGCTACGCGCGTTTAATGCTCGGATAATATTTACATATTTCTCAGGTACCCCTTTCCTGAGTAGACAGTCCCAAAGTGCACGTCTATCCACCTTATCGAATGCACCTTTGATATCGAGGAACACGACTAGGGTGGGCCGCCAATATATGTGGCGGTGCTCCAACAACTGACGCAAAGTGAAGATGTGGTCAATGCAGCCACGACCTCGACGACACTTGGCTTGCTCTTCACGAATCTGGCTTTCACGAGTGCCAGTCAGTCTGTGAAGGATGACACAGGCAAGCAGTTTGGAGGCGATGGAGATCAGACTGATTCCTTTATGGCTGCCGCATTCCGATTGTGAGCCTCCCTTGAATATTGGGACTATGACGGAGCGGCTCCAGTCGGTTGGGATAGTTTCTTGCTCCCACAGTTTCACGAGTAACTCGAGTAAATCATCCACAAGAGCACGTCCACCGCATTTGAAGAGGGCTGGAGGAATAATAATAATAATGTGTCAGATGTACGCCGCAACGGCGCTTCGCTGCCGCGCGACCACCACCAGTCGCGCGCGGGCTGAGTATACCACGAGGACGCCCACCTCTACGCGGATTCGAACCGGTGACCTTATGGTTGCAAAGCATATGTGGTCCCGCGGCTTTATTTAATTTCAACAGTCCGATCTCATGTTCGGCTTCTGAGTGAGAGGGTGCATCCAAAGAGAGCCCAGGGAGAGGGGCGATCAGTGGCCGGCGAGAAATGTAACCACTGCGGCCGATTAAATTCCCTTTCGAAGTGCTCAGCCTAACAGTCCAAGCATTTTGCCAAGCTGTGGATAGACTGTCCACTCTCGTCACGTATAGCTTCAACAACATCAGGTCTCCTGCTGCCCATTTCCCGTATCAGACGGAATAACTTACGATGGTTACCAAGGGCCGCGGCCATTTCCATCTCTGAAGCATGATGAGACCACCAGAATTCCCGGTCTCTCTTCAGGTTAGCACGGTTTTTGCTCGGAGCTCCGTGCGAGTTTCATTGTGTTCGCTTCCAGCCGGAATATGCCGGCGAGCATCGATAAGTTCGAGAGACCGCCAAGAGACCCAATGTCTTTGTCGACGATTAGACTTATCACATGAGGATTTTCCTGCTGCTAGTAAGGTCTGGTGAATATGAGACCACTGAGCTTCAATTGCATCCAGTGAACGTTAATTCAACTCGCATGTTAGTATACTTTGATAAGCATTCAGAAAAACTGGCTTCGGTAGTTGGATGGTGTCAATGCGGTCACAAGGTCGTCGTGGGCGTCCACCACATCGCATCCGCAGGTCAGCACATGCAAGTGCACGGTCGGTGTCAAGACATGTGCTCCAAATCGAGCGACAGTTCTGGACGCAACCTCTCCATCGGTAACTGATAGCAATGTGATCGATTTGCGTCCATAGCTGGTTCGAGGCTGGTGGGCGCCAAGTCACCCTCCGGCGGGTGCTGTGTCTGAAATTAGTGCTCGCAAGAAATAAGCGAGCATCCTCACACAAATGAAGTAACCGCTCACTGTTATCATTACGCGACCCTACACCATGTTGATCGCCGAGATGCAGTTCATCAGTGGATAATTTTCTACCTTGAGCGTTCAGATCCCCAGCCAGCACTACAGTGTCCGAGCTTCTTCTGTGACAAAGGAGTTCGTTCAGTTGACGATAGAAGTCGTCTTTTACCGAGCCATCGTTAGAGTTTGTGGGTGCACTG